TATTGATGAATAATTAGATGACTTCCATACATTTATCAACTACATTAAAAGTTAAATTAAATTAAAATTTACTCACCCTTTTTGTAGATGTTGAAAATAGCTGAGTTCAAGTCCTTGATTTCTCCTTGAACAGCAATAGGCTTCAGACCGAACAGCTCAATGTTGGAGTCAATGCTCTGAACGTCTCGGGCGATCTTCAGGTCAGACTTGATCTTCAGAAGAATAGAGCCAGGAACGGTGGCCACCAGGATCAGTTTTTCCTTGGACAGCTTGGCATACACTCCGGCGTTGCGCGATCCCTTCTTGACATCCTGGTAGATGAGGAAGTTGGAGGCAGAGACGACCTCGGGGCTTACAGCAACGTGTCCCTGAAGTTCAACATCAAGGTTGAGACCCTTGCTCTTGGCGCCAATGTTAACGGTGACGTTGCGGCCACCGGGGATCTTGAGGGCGGCCACGTTGGCCTCCAAAACGATCTTCTGCTTCTGGTCGGCGAAAACATCCAGGTCCATGGCAGCGTCCAGCAGTTTCTCTCCTCCTGTCACAGCCACGCGGCTGGAGGCAACCAAGTCCTTGGCTCCGGGGTGGGCGAAGCGTGCCTCTCCGGCGAGGGAAGCACCGTCCTGGTTGTGGGCGACGTCCGCAGACAAGATGATGGCAGACTTGAGGTTGGGCTGGCGCTTCTTGTCGATCCAGAAAGCCAGCTCGGCCTTGAAGGAGCCCTCCTTCTTGCTGGACACCTCGGCCAGGGCCTCAATGGTGCGCTTGGGCAGGTTGATGATGATACCAGCAGACTTCTCGTGAGCGTACAGCTTGCTGGAGAGGGATGTCTTCTCGGCGCCGGTGTCCATGTTGATGCTGGTGTCGATGTCGACGATGCGGCCGTGGCGGACGCGGGTCACGTCGATGTTGAAGTCGTGGGGAACGCCAAGAGACTTGAGGTCGAAGACGACCTTCAGGGCATGGTTGTAATCAACGAAATCTAGACGGGAAACACTCCATTAATAATAGGTGCGAGAGGAGCTTTGGGAGGACCACATATATTAGATTCAAATTAAAAAGCAAAAAATTCGTAAAATTTCATACCTTGAACCTTCACATTGTTATCAAACTCAAGGCGGGCACATTTCTTGTCCTTGTCACAGAAGACATTGATGAAACGCTGTTGACGGTTGGTGATTTTCCTCTCAAGCTGGATGCTCTCTTTTCCTCCAAAGTCAACATTAAGGATGTTCTGATCAATTCAAAAAAATAAAAAATGAGATATTTTGGAAAAAAAACAACACAAAAACAATATGATTTTTGTCATACAAGAGGAGAGCTTTCCTGAAGGATGCTTGCTTACCTCTTCTCCAACTTCCTTATCTTCACCAAGGTTCAGTTGCTTGTGGGTAAACTTGAAGTGAGAGCTGCGAGCCTCATTCTTGACTTGGACATTACCGGAACCCTCCAAAGACCACACCTTGCCTTCTGACTTGGCTTCATAGTTTGTGCTATAGAAATAAAAGTTAGATTAGAGATGTATTTTCCAATAGATACACTTTTTCTAAAGCAAATTACAAATGTACTCACGATCCGCTAACAATGTTCTGATCAGCAGACTTGAGGGAGAAAGTGATTTGCTTCTTATCTCCTGGCTTGCTAGAAACAGCAAGGTCATACTTGTTCAGCTTCAGCTTCTCGGAATCAATCTTAACCTTGATGTCAAAGTTGTCAATGGAGTCAACCTTGCTCTCAACCCCCCAGGTGAGCTTGCCACCACCCTGGTAAGGCCACTGCAATTCACCCTCACTCTTGACCTCTTTGTCAGATTTTCTATCAGTCTTGGATGCCAAACGGAGTTTACCGCCAGGATGCTCAATCTTGATATCAATTTTAGGGCTTTTCTCTGCCATGTCAAGATCAACACCCACGTTTATCTTCTTATCATCCAGTGCTAGGGTAATATCAGTATTTGAGGCCCGCTCATTCTTCCTCTTGTTCAAAACGTCAATCTCGAAGTTGTGTTTGTTGTTTACATTGGTGGTACCAGACAATTTGGCCTTGATGTCACTGAAGTCCTTGAGTCCCTCAATCTTGAATTCAAACTTGGCTTCCTTTTTCTCATCCCAGGTAGCAGTAGCTGTGGTGCTGAGCTTAGGTGGCTCCTGGTCAAGCTCGTGGACCCAAGATGTCTGAATGGAACGGGGTTTGTCATTGGGGAGGGTAAGAATAACCTTGGTGGAGCCTCTTCGAAGATCAGCCTTCAGAGCACCATTGAGCTTAGCAGTCTTGTCATCCCAGGCAAGTTCGTTCAGGACCTTGACCTAAAATAAATAAACAAAACATAAGTAACTACAGTTGAAAACATAGAAATTCAGATGGGTAATTCACAAAGTAGAACTTACTTCACATGATGGTACAATGTTAGGGAGCAGCAGGGAAACAGCGGATGCCAACTTCATACCCTTCTCAGACCTGATCTTTTGGAGCATTTCATAGAGGTGCTTGAAGCCAACTTGGCAGGGAGATCCTGGCTCAGCTGTCATAGTGTAAGAGTTCTTGTACTTAAGGTGCTTGATGTAATCAGAAGGCAGTTTCAGATCAATAGCAATTTCAGAATGCTTTTGGCCATTGTTACCCTCCTGACCAGACATAGCTTTTCCTTGAACATCGTATTCAAAACCAGTAAGGCCACTGCCCTTAAGCTTGTAGGTCACCTGGGTCTTAGTACTCTCAGAATTGAATTCAACATCGACTGGTTTGGACAGGTAAGAGCCCTTGATAGATCCCTAAGGAATAATTAAAACATTCAATTAATATAAAAGCCCGTGATTGAAGTCGGTTGGTCAAAATATACAATAAAAAGAACAATTAGTAAGTTTAATCGTAAAAAGCCTTACCTTGCCCTCAGAAATCCATTTGTCTCCAGACTTAGTATTCTTGGCGGACACCTTGGCAGCAAGATCCTTGCCGTCAGGACATTTGTAGTTGTATTCAGCATTTGCGTCAAAAACACCTTGCTTAACATCAACACCCTTGCCAGAAACCTTAAGAGATGAGGTTCTCACAGCTCCACCGTTGTTGTCTTCCAAGGCCAGAGAGAACTCTCCAGAGGAAGGCTGGTCAGCCTTAATGTGGGTCTCACGCTTGTAACGAGCTGACAGCTTACGACCGCTTGGAAGAATTACTTCAACATCAGATTTAGAAGAACCATCACGTTCACTGCCAGTAGCTTCACGCTTCAAATTGGCCTGAAGTTTCCAGTCCATAATGATGATTGTGTTCCTAAAATTCAAAGTGAAATGAAACAAAACATAAATGTCATAGGACCAGGATAAAAAAAAAATTAGACTGGGGTATGCACTTGAAATTTTAGAAGAAAAAACTTACTTGGAATTGATTGCCTGACGAGTAAGATCAGAATCTGTCTCAAAGTGAATCTTCTGTTTGGGATCCTTGTCAGCATTCCAGAGAAGGTCAGCTGAAAGCTTGTGGTTGCTGCCAGAAATTGCTAGATCAGCAGATCCCTTAATCTTACGCTGCACCTTAGGAATATCAATGACAAAGCTTCCAGAGCCCTTGCCACCTCCATACTTCATGTCTCCATGGGAGTCGAAGATATCCTTAATGATGACCTAAAAATCATTCAAAAAATGTAGCCAAACAGAACTTACTAATTTAAATCAAAGTGAAACAATTTTCATTTAATTTGAGATACATTGCTAAAATATTTTTACTACTGAAAGGACTTACCTTGTAACTACCACTTGGGTTTGCTCCTCTGTCAAGCTTGGCTGAAGTGTCCAAATACTTGGTATCACCGTAAGTGATGTAGCAGTGCGTGTTGAAGTGGCCGGTGTTGTGGACAACAGCAGTGCTCACCCTAAATTTTGGAAAACACGCAATGTCAAAATCTACAGGGTACAACATTTGACAGAAATAAAACTATCCAATTATCCTCACTTGATGTCAGGCTGCTGATGCAGCTTAAGAAGGTGCTCTCCAAGATAGTTAATGTTGTTCTTTTCAAAGTTGTAAGTCACATCCGAGCTCAGCTCGTATTTACCACCAGGAGTGAGCTCCAGGGAATGATGAGCCTTAACTTTGTCGGCAGCAGGCTTTGAACGCTGGCTTGAAATGGCAATACCCTTGTCATTCACTTTAAGCTGGAAAATAAAAAAGGTTGGTATCAGCTATACTTTGAGGATCATAGAACTCTCCTGTACATGTATAAGTCTCCATATATATATATATCAAGGTAGATACAATCATTTTAACTGCAGTACTTACATTGAAGTTTACTTCATAGTCACCAACAGACTTTTGGTTTGCCTTTGCATTCAGCTTGCTTTCAAGTTTCTTGTTGTCGTATTTAGCAGAAAGGTCATAGCTCAGAGTCTTTCTTGTGGCAGCAGCATCCAACTTAGCGTCAATTCCAAGGAGAGGGTAAGTCAACTTCTTCTTGGTTGATAAATCAAAATTGCTGAAACTATCACCCTTGAATATCATTTGATCATTGAAGGTCACTCTCGATTCAACAGCCTTGAGATTTGCTCCATGAGCAACGACAAGGTTGGTGTCAATCTGGTTGTTTTCCCTCTTGTAGTCCAAGTCAATAGCAAAGCTGAAGTCAGGGGCCTGGTTTGGTACTACTTCAATATGTGCCTTGTAAGCATTAGGACCGAGCTTTTGCAGGTCAGTCTTCACAGTACCAGTGTGCTTGTCAAGAATCACCTTCAGGTCGTGAGCCACAAGGTTGGTGTCCTTGGTGATAGAACCATCAAGACCATACTTGCCCACAGGAGTATTGATAGACACACCATTGAACTTGTACTTTCTCCAAGTATCACCCTTCTTTTCAACTGTCACAGTACCTTCAATGTTAATGGGCTGTTTCTTGCCATCCTTGCCAGTCAGGGCTTCTTTCTTGCCACCAGGCGCACTGTACTCCAAGACTGGGGCATAGGTACGAGCATCAGGGCTTCCAGTAACATCCAAGCCAACCTTCACAGAGTATTCAGCCTTGTCATTGAGGAGCTTTCCGACAAGCATTTGCTTTTGCTCATTGTCAATGATCTGTCCCTCCACAGAAATCTTCTTCCAAGGAGAAATCAGAGCACCCTTAATAGCATAGTCAGGGCTGCTGGAGGCCTCCAGCACCGCAGAAAGCTTACGGTTGCTCTTAGATCCAGGGGTGTCCACTAAGAGCTCCACAGAACGCTTGTGGGGGTTTGATCTATCATAGCTAGCCTTGAGGCGGTAACCAGTCATGCCATCATCAACCTTGTCAGCCCTGAGAGAAAACTTGGCAGGACCGTTCAGGGGGAAGAGAGCACCATTGAAGCTGGGACCCTCAGAGGGGAAGCCAACCTCAGAGCAGAAAGTGATTCCAATAACTGGAGACAACTGGTCAAAGCAGCCATGATAATCCTTCCGCTTAGCAGTGAAAGACAACGGGGTGTTGACTTCAGACTGACCCTTCTCCCTCTTGTAATTGTAGATCTCAGACTAAAAGCAAAGAAAATAAGATTAAGATTCTATGATTTCTTCCATGAAAACAAAAGGGAAAAAAAAGAAAGAAGAAGTAACTGACCTTTAGAGTGATCACATCCTGCTTAGGGACAGGCAGTCCAAAGTTAACATCAATACCAGCTCCATCCAAAATCTTGATAGTAACATCAGATCCAGTAGCAGAGTGAACAGTGGTGGAAAGCCTCAAACCAGACTGGACAGCAATGGCATCAACAACCATCAGTCCATTCAATTCAATGGCAGCACTCGGCACAATGTGAAGCTTAGCTTCAGCGTTCTTAGGGTCCTTCATGATGGCATGAATATCTAGCTTTCCATCAAGCTGCAGATGGACGGCAGCATTACCAACGGCAGACAGCTTGAGGGGGAATCCAAGACCAGTAGGATAGGTGAGGTCGGTGTCCAGGAATTGGTAGTGCTTTTGGATGTCATACTATAGAGAGAGCAGGAAACCATTATTAGCTAATGGACCAAAAGTCTTCCAAAAAATTTCAGATACTCTGAACAGACAGAACTCACATTGAATTTCTTAGCTTTCAGAATGCCAGCGTCAACTCCATCAAAGATTTTATCCACAATGCTTTCAGGAGACAAGCTCTTACCCCCTTGGTAATTCATCCAGACGCTTTCAAAACCAAACACTCGAACAGAGATATCGAGGTCAAGTTCCGCATCAAACTCCTTGGGTCCTAGGGAAACTTTCTTGGAAACAGCATTAATCTGGTCGCGAGAAACTGAGCGCTTTCCTCTGGTTGCCTTAGCAAACCTGTCTGCAACCTTTCCAGCAAGAGTCACAAACTTATCCTGACTCTCAGTGAACATGTCCCTGACATTGTTGGATCTGATGTAGCCCTTGGGGCCAAAGATGTGCTCCAAGACGCGGTCAACATTTTCAGCACGAATGCCAAACTAGAAAAAATTAAAACAGATTTCAGAAAATGCAATTTTGCAATATCAGGTAGACACTCTTAAGTGGAATTTGTAACTCACATCAAGAAGGTTTACTGAGTGACCGAAGACCTCAGTGGTAAGGTTTAGAGAGGCAGAGCGGGGCACAAAAGACTTTTGAGAGAAGATGACATTAGACTCAGCGGAAGCACCAATATTGAGCAGATCAATGAGGGTGGAGACCTCAAAGTTGCGTGAGAACTTTCGCAAGTCATTGGGGAAGCGCTTAGTGGGCTTAATGTTGCCCAACTGAGCCTTGGCGGAAACCTTATCAGGATTGGCAGATGCACGGAGGTTTCGCAAATGTGACACAATAAAAGCACCAACTGCAGAAGTAAGGCAGGATTTAATTCTCATGAAAATACTAGTATTATTTCAATCAGCTTCAAAATTTTATTTTGAAATGCATTTCTATTTAGTTCTCACCTTGGTTACTGGGCTCCTTCTCAATGATTTCCTTAAGAGCATTAGCGACCTGACCATTGGGACAGTCGACAAGTGCAAGGTAAGCCTTGATACGGATCTCAGAGTCCTCTTCAGTGTTCTTGAGCACACTAAGAGCAGTTTCTCTCAGCTTCAATAAGAAACAATAATTGTAAGTAAGAAATATAAATTCATCAAGGTATTCTAAATCTATGAAAATAAATATTCATTACTATACCTTAGGTATGCATGCATCACCATGGAAAGCTTCCAGAGCAAAAACTCGAATCCTAGTTGGAAGAGAGACATCACTGGCACAAGCAGACACAGTCTTGGCAACTGCATCATTGAGATTGTGGATGTTGTGAATAGCCTTGAGGCTAGCAATGATTTTGTTTTCATCAGCCTTGTCCTTGGGCTTGCAGTTGGAACCAAGAGGATTGGCCAGCTTGCTGATCAGGGTGTTGAATTCAGCTTTGTTGTCACATTCATGCTCACGGCAATAGCGACCAGCCAGAGCACCAGCACCAAGGATCAGACCACGTGGGCTGTTGGCGTCAATAAGACCAGCAACTGAAGCAAGGGCTCCAGGAGTGGCATGGCGCACAAAGCCAAGGTTCATGTACCAGACCTTTTCAGTCATGTCCTTGATTTCCTTCTGCTTGATGAGTTCAGCACCAGCTGAAACAGCTTCACCAGTTCCAGTACGGATCAGGGCATCAATGAACATTGACCTATCCAATAAGAAAAGAAATCAGTTAATTGGGCTCAATGTTTAACTTCATTTGACTTAATATTTAAAGGAATATTTTTTTTTCAAATCAAAGAAACATCTTACTTGTGATGGGTATCCTTGTAAGCCTTAAGGATGTCATCTTTTGTGGACTGGCGGAGAACTGCAACAACATCACCAAAGTCACGAGCAGAGGATTCGCCAACACTGGACTTCATGTTTTCATGGGCCTTGTGCATGGCTTTGGAGATGGCATCAGCATTTCCAGGGACAGTAGTGGCATGGGGAACCTCAAAGAGGATGGAACGTTGACGGCTGACAGCAGCTGAAAATAAGAGAACCTTTCGTGATTGTTCAATATAAAAAATGAGGCAGCAGAATAAACTTTTTACAGAAAACCAACTCACTGCTTGAAGGACCCTGCTTTTTGGTGGACACCAGCTTGATCTTAGTTTCAACAACAGTCTTAGCACCAGCGTCCTTGTTGGAAAGAGGGCGGTAGAAGTATTCCTCAACACTCTCAGCTGAGTCAAGGATCTTGTTCTTGATTTTCTGGGTAGACTTCAAGGTGGAGGCCATGAGGGGAGTGTTCTGCAGAGGAGAACCACCGGCATAGCCAACGGAGAGAATATCAGATCTGAAATCTTCACGGTAAGCGCATCTGTTGAGGTTGCGCTCCTTGCGGACAATGAGGGTGTCTCCATCCTTGCTGAATGAGAAGTCTGTTGGGCAGGAACCGTACACATCGATCTGAAAAAACAAAGAAATACATTTCAGTGACACCAGCCGCTCACACTCACATATAAACCTACAACTGCTGTGTATAATCACCTCAGTGGCGGCGTTGCTGCCAAACGACTGGGAGGCAGCGACCTGGAAGAGGGAGAGCACAGCTCTCTTGACGTTGAGCGCTGTCTGGGAGTCGTCCTCCACAGTGCAGAGCTCGGCATCGATGTGACCGTCGTGGAAGTTGAAGCGCAGAGGGTGCTTCTCCAACTCCTTCAGGTTATCGTACTTCTGCAAGATGGCACATTCAGAAAATTAGTAAAAGACAATTGGGAACCGTTTTCTAACCAAGACGACACTAATGGAAACATCACGTATCATACACTTGACTTCTGTTGCGAGAACCAAGACAGAGAACGAAAAGCAAAACGGTCACAGAGCCCAAAATGTTAGGTTCAGTTTCACTGCTTAAATTTGTTATTTGTTATTTATTTGTTTGTTTGTTTGGGGGCTTAGGGGGAGGGGGAGGGGGAGCA